AACGTTTTTAAAATCTACTTTATAGCTTGTAGTAACTCACGGGAGGCTTCTTTTATTTTATTTGTATTCATAATAATTTTTATTTTTCGTCAGAATGTATTATGGTGCATTAGTTACGAATTTTTGTTCTAAAAAAACAGTGCATTGTGTGTAATACAACTGTGATTTTTATTAAATTAGTTAGTTTTTAAGGAAGGCCAGAGCTTCAGCTGTGTCAAATAGATTGTTCCCTTTAGTTAACGTTATTTAAAAGATAATTATATTCCTATTTGATCATGTCCCCTTTATTGTATTACGGACGCAAGGAGAGCAATGTGAGCGTCCATTCCCATTGGATAACGGAGGATTTTACACCCGGAAGTAAGTATTCTCCTTACTGTCGATTGATTTTACAGTGATATCTGTACTACTCATCAACTCAAAAACACCAGATTATCCTTGTTAATTACACAACATTGATTGGTTTAAATTGTGTGCAATGCTTTTGTAATTTTCCCCTTCGATTCGGAGAAACAAATATTTGTTCAGAGTTTAGGATGGCCGAAGACACTACACTACCCAGAATCCTCAGCTATTGTTCCGCTTTGCCTCAAGCTCTGTGATTGGTTGACCTCCAACTGCATTCCATATGAAAAAAAAAACGTTTCGTAAAAGATAAAATCATACTTTATTCAGCAGTGCTTGCTTTACTCTTTGAAAGTCATCACATGAATGCATTGTAATAAATGGTTCGGCTGCATTAAACATTACACATCTGTCGTAGTTCTTTATTTATCTACAGAGATCGGGCCTCAGAATAGACCGGAAACTATTCTTTTACCGTTCTGTTTTAATTTCACAATAAAGTTAGTAGTAATAATTTGTTTTGATATTATTGTTTTTTATTAACTACTCGACCGCTGGGTCATGTTAAGACTATCTTTTCTGTGTTGCTGTGGGTTTTTTACATCGCTTTTGTGTTACAAATATCAAAACAATAACAGAATATATCCGTCGTAAACTAAACCAGAAACAGCAGTATATTTTATTTTGTTAACACTGTAAACTTGACAGATTTTTAACCCGCACCTCCTGCTGGTTAAAGCACGTTATTACACGTTTAGAGTAATTGCAATGCAGGTAGATTGTGTTGCTTTTTAATGACTGTTTTAAAATGCCTTTTTCTTAATGTGTTTCATTTTTGTAAAGCACTTTTGAATGTGTTATATTTGATGAAAACATTTAAATATTAAGAGTACATACTCTTAATATAGTGGGAAAGTGGAAGGTCAATGATATAAATAATATAGAATAGAAAAGGTCTTCTTTTAAATAAGAAAAAAGCTTTGGGGGTATCTACAGATATTAAGCCTGACAAAGTACTTAACGTCTAATATATTGCATGGTTTGTTTTGGAACTTGACAATCAACTTTCCTGCAATGTTAACTATGTTGAAGCACTTATTTTAACTGATATTATACATATTAATTATACTCTTATAAGATGTATGTAGATAGTATAAGAAATGTGCAGAATATGTTTAATGGTGGAGGTACACAGATATCGATATCCACTGTTGAGGAACCTGTGACCCAAGTTTTTCATTCATTGCATAACTACACCGTAGTTGTGTATATGATATGTCAATAAACCTTAGAAAATCTTGAAATCTTGAAAGGGATGTGCAAAATAGCCATTATATACAGTTTTTAATGAACTATTAGTAGAGAATAACGAGTAATGAATATACTTTATAGGGATCTGCAGATAAATATTTAGTCTTCTCAAGCACCCACTACCAAATATCTCGCCTTGACAATCACCTTCACTGAATTTTACTCAGGTGTAACTAAAGTCTGATTTAAGGGTTGTTTATATTTCACATCATTAATCCAAATCTGTAAAGTAACTAAAATAAATGTAGTGGAGTAAAAATACCAGGTTAACCTTAAAGAAAGCCCTCAGGATTATAAAAGACCCCCATCACCCCAGCCACAAACTGTTCTGTCTGCTGCCGTCTGGCAGGCAGTATCGCAGCATCCGGACTAAAACCACCAGACTCAGGGACAGCTTCATCCCACAGGCCATAAGACTATTAAACACCTGAACTTAGAAACAACATTCATAACATTCATCTGGCTGCTACTTCTAAATTATTTATCTAATATATCATATTCCAATCACTTGTATATAGACTCTTATTGCACGATTTAACTTTTTACTATTTTACTATTTTTCTTTTTGTATTTACTTGCACTATTTACTTGCACTATCTGTTTTATTGTGTTGCACTGTTGGAGGAGCCTGTGACCTAAGGGGTGGGGTAGGACACGTTCTAAGCACATGGTGTAGTCCCATAGCTGAGGATTCTGGGTAGTGTAGTGTCTTCTGCCATCCAAACACTCAGAAAAAATATTTGTTTCTCCGAATCGAAAGGGGAAAATACAAAAGCATTGTACACAATTTAAGGTTTTAAGGTTGAACAATTCATATAATCGGCGCTATCTTTGCTGATAGAACATCTTTGACTGAAGTGATGGAGAACAAACTGTACCCAGAATGCAGTTTGATGGTGTTACACTTAATAGAGCCCCCTCCCCAGGAAGTGAGTCAGCATTTTAGCACTGACTTCCTCGTCTGGAAGTCAATGTTTTTCTAACTTAGTTTTTGGTTAGATGACCGTAAATAAGATCTGTGGTTAACAAAAGCTGAAGAGATTTTCACATTTTGTTATACAACATAAAATATGTCAGCAAATACCCCACTGGTGAATGTCTGAAGCCTCTATCTGCCATAAAAGTAGCACTTAAACAAGTGTGTAAAAGAGACGACTAAACGCCATCAGGCCGAACATTAGCCTTTAGCTTAGCGATGGTGACGGGAAGTCATGTGACTGGTATGCAGTTTCTTTATAGCTTAACGTTAGCTTTTTACTTCTGGAGATTGCATTGACTCTTCCACTCAATCATTATAAAAGTGGTGTTAATGTGTGGAGATTATCCTGCTCAACAAAACGTGTAAGTATCATAAAAGTTTGTTTACCACAGAGACTATTTTCTCAAATATTCTAAATCCAATGGAAAAATCCCATTGACTTTTTGTCCAGGGAGCTCTTAATAATAATAATAATAATCAATTTTATTTATAAGTGCACTTTTAATTTGAGTAAACAAAACTCAAAGTGCTACAGAGTAAAATGGTTGAAACAAAACAACAAAAACAAATTAAACAACAAAATAAAAGCAGTGACGTTTACGCCGGCATGGCAACAAGTGGGGGTTTTAAAGATCTAGTAAAAGGCTATTCTAAAAAGATGCGTTTTTAGGCCTTTTTTAGAAGCATCCACAGTTCTTGTGATGCTTACTTCCTGGTCGGCCTACAGAAATACGTTCTTACGGCCCGTCCACACGGCGGCGTGCGTTGAAGCTTCAACGCTTCTGCCCATTCACTTTGAATGGGGTGACGTCACGCTTCGCCGAACTGCATTGTGGGAGCGTCGCTTCGCGTTGCTCGCTTCAAAAGTTGAGCAATGTTCAACTTTTGAAGCTTCGACGGAAGCGTCAGCCAATCGCATCATATGCCAGTACAAGCTCTAGCCAATCAAACCGCGTGCCCTTGTGTCCGGGGCGGGAGATTCATGTGATTGGTTGTTGGTCGAGTTTCAGACACGCCCACCTGCAAGCTTCAACGCACGCCGCCGTGTGGACGCTGCGTTACTGCGCTGCTCCATTTGAAGCACATCTAATAAATAAGTCCTGCAGATCTCAAGAGCTTGCAGTCGAAGTCCAGACAGAGACTCTCTCCATTTTAGTAAGATATCAGGTTCATTTTTGCAAGTTTTTATATACTTTTATTGGATGCACACAATATCCAAACATGCATTCGCACTCTGTCCGTTGATGATTGCAAACCAAACTACATTTAAAGTCTTAAAGACAACAAAGCTGGTGTCCTCAGGTAAGTCTTCTGCATGCATTACACATGTAGTAATGAAACAACAGAGATATTAAACTGTTTCAAAGGGAAGTATTGTTTCTCTGAACTGTGTAGTACTTATGTATTATTATGAAATATAAACTGTATGATCATATATGAAGGGTGTGCATTGTCCATGTCGACATAAGGACAGAACACTTGTGAGTTTTCCCTGCAGAGGCGAGCTTGTGGTGTTTTGTACAGTATGTTTAATATCACTTTTTTCTATTGCAGGACATTTTACACTTTAATTTATGTTCTCAAGACTGCCTGAACACAAATCTAAGTCTGCTAGAAGAAGCAATAATAAGATAGATAAAACATTTGACAAAACATTACAATAGTTTTACACTAATCATTGATAGCAAACAAATGCAACTATGATCAAATGATGATTACAAATGCAAGTATATACACTATGCTATACTTTTACATTCTCAATCAGCTTGCTTTTTTGACACTTTTAAAAATAAATAAGACTACATAATGAGTCAATTTATTTCTGGCCCTACTTGTTAATTAAATGCATTCACTTTAAATGTATAAAACAATATATAGGTATGTTATCTTCCAGGTTTACACCCTGATCCTCAGCTGATACTGTTTGACAGAAATTAATGCTCTTCACACGTTTTTGTAGCAAAAGTATTTATTTTGAATATTTATAATTCATCCAGATATAGAAGAAGAATATAAAACACAACTGTGAAAATTGGGCAGTTCATATCAACACATCTTTTATTGCTCCACATTGTATTGTTTGTATTTGAAATTATGTTCGAATGGAGTATAATAGTGATTTATGTCTTAACTTAAAACAACAGTCTTAGGAAATATACTTTTTTGTTGGGAACTTCTGCTCTTTAATCTGAGGACTGATAGATAGATATATATATATATATATAGATAGATAGATCGATAGATAGATAGATAGATAGATAGATAGATAGATAGATAGATAGATAGATAGATATATATTGATATCTTGAATTTACTGTCAATATTTACAATGCCTTTCCTCTGTTAGATCAGTATCTTTGTAGAGATGAGTGTGTCCTCTGCCAATGGGACCGTGGTCATTCAGTATCGAGACTCCTTCTCTAAAGCTGTGGCCAAGAATGTGATCGTGGTGGTGATCGGCATCTCCATCAACTACATCAATGTGGGCCTCATTCACACCTTCTGCAAACACCAGGTGAGACTTTGACTACAGGAAAAAAGTATTATCTTTTTTTTTATTGTCTTTATTTATTGTTTTTTCCCACACATAACACAATAATAGGAGAAAATACAGAGTACAAATGTAGGTGCTATATAACAAATAAATACAAAAAAGATGAAAAAACAATTATGCCAAAACAATAATGATAATAACATAAAAAGACCATTACAGTAACAGCAATGACAAGAATAAACCAAAATACACAATGACATGATAAGACAGAAACAGAAAATCCCTAAGACCAGTCAGGAAAACAGTATTAATGGAAGAGGTGGTAGAAGTACTCAGGTCTTGTATTTGAGTACAAGTAGAACTCAGATCTTGCACTTGAGTAAAAGTAGAAGTACTAAGGTCTTGTATTTGAGTACAAGTAGAACTCAGATCTTGTACTTGATTAAAAGTAGAAGTACTCAGATCTTGCACTTTAGTCAAAGTAGAAGTACTCAGATCTTGTTCTTGAGTAAAAGTAGACATACTCAGATCTTGTACTTGAGTAAAAGTAGAAGTACTCAGATCTTGTACTTGAGTAAAAGTAGAAGTACCAGAGTGTAGGAATACTCTGTTACAGTAAAAGTCCTGCTTTCAAAATGTCACTCAAGTAAAAGTAGAAAAAGTATTATCATCAAAATATAGTGAAAGTAGCGACAGTGAAAGTATTCATTGTGCAGATTGGTCCATTTCAGAATAATATATATGATATGTTTTATAATGATTGATCATGAAAGTGTTCTCAAAGCTGGTAAAGGTGCAGCTAGTTTGAATGACTTTGTATACTGCAGGGTAGCTTGTGAATTTACTCCAGGTGGAACTCAAGTCTGATTTAACACTTGATTATATTTCACATCATTCATCCACATCTGCAATCTTAGTTACTTCCCACATCTCGCCACATGTGAACATTTTTAGTTGTTGATCTAATCTAATGTTGGTATTCATGTTAATTGAAGTCTGGGCCCAATGCATAAACTGTGTATTGATTGGCATGGTGGATAAAGATAGCTTTTTTAGCTGGCACAATTCATCGTAGGAATACACTGATTAACACATTCAAAAACAGGCTAAATGTCATCCAAGGTTGAACTTTCTTTACTGTAAAGTCCTTGAAACCTCAATGTCAAATTGATGCTTCTGTAATAACATTTTAATAGTAGAAACAGATTAGCCTTCCTTAGGGGAAGACATGACTACATAGTTAGTGTTCAGGGCAATATCAGCAGAGGGGCGTACTTTAATTCAAATTTAAAGGTCACCGATGATGCAAAATCCACTTCTTCATGTCTTTTCTCCATCAACATGTGTCCCCTCTGTGTAAAGAGACTCTGAAAGTTTCAGGAACAAAGATTCTCTCTCTTTTCGTCCTGATCCATTTATATAAAAACCTGTCTGAAAATGAGCTGATCAGATTTTGGCCACTTTATGATGTCATGACGATTTTTTGGCTTGTGTAACCATTAGCCAATCACCCCCCCCCCCCCACCTTATCACCTGAATCTCCTCCTAGAGCGCCATTGTGTTCTTTTTAACCAAATATCTCTCAGAGGGGCGTGGGGAGTGGCTCCTTATTTTCATCTAAGGCCCAGGCTCCAAGGGAACGCATACGGCAAAACGCATAGGATTAACGCAAACGCAATCACCAAAAAGCTTCCGCCCACACGCAATATACACCGGATAGTGTCTGCCCACATGAGACAGCTCCGTTTAGATCCAACCGCTGGAAAAGCTGCAGTACATATGCCGAGCCTGTACGTGGCGCTGTAACTTCCTCCACAAAAGCAGCAACTTCCTCCACAAAAGCAGCGAAGAAGAATGGTTGTCATGGCTGCACTTTTGTTTATTCTCCGCGGTGGGGGCCGAGGGAACCGGGCAGAGTTTTTCGCCGGTCAACGTGTGTTAAAGTTTAAATCTTCATGCTTCCTCATGCAGCAGCTGATCCAGTAAGTAAACCCGACAGTAAAAATGAACATATTTATAACTAGTTTAGGTAGTTTGAGAGGTAATTAAAATAGCTAAGGGTGGTGATCTGACTTGAAGTGTGTGTTTTGCTCCCGCTGCATCACAGCGGGAGGAGCTGCGTGTCTCCGTCCTGTCAGATTAGACTTCACTTGCGTTTATGTCCATATCGAGATAAAGATAAATAATCTGAATTCAGTGTGTATTTTTGCGAGGGTGAGCAGCAGAGGTGGGGGGAGGCGGGGCTATTGCGTCGTCATTATCAGAAACGGATGACCGTATAGGCTACCACACGGCCCCGTTGGACCCCCCAGAGCGCTCCGTTCCCAGATCTATCCACCTTTGGACCCGTTGTCGTTTGCAGGGTCCGTTTCTACCGTTCCGTTACGGCGTCGTGTAGCAAAAAGGGCTATACGCAAGAGAAATATGCGGATACAACCCGTTTTCGTTCCCGTGGAGCCTAGGTCTAAAGTAACAGACAGAGAATCAGCACTTTTGAAATGGGGCTGAAACAGAGGGGATTATGGGTAATGCTGCAATGATCTGTTTGGTGTTTGGAGCAAAACACTTCAGAGACATGTTTTGTATATATCTGAGACCTGTAATATATTGATGAAAAACAGTATAATAGGGGACCTTTAAAATAAATTGTACTCAGCCGACCTATAACTATTAACCAACCGTCTTTGCTCTTATTCCCCACCTGTCAGATCTTCTACACGAATCCTCGGTACGTCCTCTTCATTCACCTGGTGGTCAACGACATGGTCCAAGTGACTCTTTCCCTTTGCATGTTCATCATCAGCTACACTATCTACAAAATAAACGCCTCTGTCTGCTGCACCTTCATCCTGATGGCTCTCATCATGACTGAAAACACTCCTCTGAATCTGGCTTGCATGGCGCTTGAATGCTACATCGCCATTTGTTTCCCTCTACGCCACGCACAGATCTGTACCATCAAGAGAACGCTGATCCTGATTGGTTTGATCTGGACGACCACCATGTTGTCTTGTCTCCCTGATCTCTTCATCACTTTGGCCACAGTGCCATTGGACTTCTTTCAGTCAAAGATCTTCTGCCTCAGAAAAACTACCTTCCCAAATCCCATCATCTTGGAGAAGAGAAATATAACATATATTGTGTATCTGATTGTGGTTTGGTTTGTTATCTTTTTCACCTATTTTAAAATCCTGTCCACTGCTAAAACAGCTAGCAGTAATGCTAAAAAGGCCAAAAACACAATCATTCTGCATGGGTTTCAGGTGCTGCTTTGTATAACAAACTATATATCCCCCCAGTTTCAAGATTCTCTGATACAAAGGTTTCCTGAGAATAGTACAGACAGCCTTTTTGCTTTCTATATTGTTCTTATGATCATGCCAAGAGCAATTAGTCCAATAGTCTATGGCATACGAGACACGTCCTTTAGGAAGTACCTGAAAACGTATCTGCTGTGTAAGAGCCCACAGTAAGAATCAGTTAATGAATTAAAAGATTGGGATTTCCAACCTGAATGCTTTACATGGAGATCCTAAATCCTAGATCTTTACACGTGAAAGATGTCCCCATTGAGGCTAATCAAGATGCATTAAAACATGAGTTACAGTCTGGTAATAAGTCCCACTGTTTGTAAAGACTTTCTAAGTGATGGCAGCCATGTTATTTGTTCATTCTTGCTCATATATTTTCTCACCATAATGTTGTCAAATACGATCATATTTCTTGGGAGCACAATGCATACCTTTTGCAGTTGTTGGGCTCCCAGGATTTGACAAAGAATAATGAAAACAAACACAATAGTGTTCTCAACGCTTCCTGGTTTGAAAGTCTTATAAAAAAGCACATTTTTTAAGATGTGACTATGAAAACGCTGGTAGCATGTCTGCTAAGGCTAAGTTCCTTACTTTACTGTCTACCTTCAGCTGTACTAAATAATAAAGGTAAAATATTTAAATCAATCATTCCAATATTGTCTCCTAAACAGTAGGTCCAAACTGCTTTGTTCATTTCGTATTTAATCTTTACTTACATTCGGAAGCCTAAGTGAAAATAGAAGGTGGATTAGAGTCATTACACTTTTTCTCAAATACCACCAGAGATGGCAAAAGTACACACATCCTTTACTCGAGTAGAAGTACAGATACTTGTGTTTAAAAATACTCTGGTAAAAGTAGAAATACTGACTAAACTTCTTTACTCAAGTAAAAGTAAAGAGGGCTTTGAAATGTACTTCAGTAAAAAGTACCCATAACTAGCAGCTGTTTTAAAGAGTACCTGACCTCCCTTTATATTAATAGAACAATAATGTCATTGTTAGCTAATGAATGTTTCCATGCTGAACAACGGCAACATGACAACGTTTTCATTGGTCCCTCTTCTTTAGAGAAGACCAGGAAATGATGGATACACGGATCGTGTTCAAATCAATAGGCACGCAATGACTCTAAATAATAATGATCACGCCACCAAACACACATTCAGACTAAAGGAACCAGCCTGTTTGGAAAATGTAAGAAGTAGAAAGTACAGGTATTTGTGTTCAACATGTAAGAAGTAGAAAGTACAGGTTTTTGTTTTAGAAATGTAAGAAGTCAAAGTAAAAAGTAGTGGAGTAAAGTACTGATACCAGAAAAATGTACTTAAGTACAGTAACAAAGTATTTGTACTCCACTACTTCCCAACTCTGAATACCACATACACATTTGGATTGTAACGTGATTGTGAAGTCCAATTTAGGCCTACAGACAACACTGTAGCTGGCAGTGAAATCGTAGCAGTTTGTTTAATTAGCAGTTTAACAAAAGATACGTCATCTCCAAAATACGCCCCAAATACAAGGCAACATATAACGTTTGAGATTTCCAGTTGCCATATTGTTGGTGTCCAGGTCTCAGGTTAGTGCCAGCTGCCTTTCACTCTCTTTTCACAGCTGTATTCAGAATACAAACGTGTGGCTTCACTTAAACAAACCTGATTTTAACGTCTTTTTCAATTGTTTAGGATTGTGAATCTTATACAAACTGAATCATTGATGGTTTGAAATACATCATATTTCAGTTTATCCTAGAAACATTCATTATAAATATTTGGTAATGCTATAGAGCGGTGATACTAAACTTGTTATGATTCAATGAAAACAAATTAATGGGACTTTTTGTGGTACATTTCATGTCGATGAGGTGACAGAATGCATGTTTTTCATGATTGAAAGAGAAAAGAAGGGGTTATGTTTATGAATCTTTCCAATGAATGCTTGATTGTATGATTTTAGAGGTTTCAGCTATGGTTATTAATGTTGTATCAACTCATTCAAATTTAAATGAAGCATTTATAAGTGAAATGTAGATTTAGTTGCAGTAAATAAATGTTTTGTCCTGTCATATAGTGTCAGTCTTTGTGCCAAGTTAATTGAGTTAATAAGTAAATAAATCAGATGATTGGAAAAGAACTGGCCCTTTTATTGATAATAAATGTACTGCTCCTAGCCTCTTGGATTTTATACTCATCTTTAACATAATAATTGTATATAGTTTTTAAAGTGTACATACTGTGAACAATTCTAAAAATAAATACATGTATTTATATTGCATTATATTAATAACAATTTATAATTAGAGAACCTTGGAACCCTCTAAGGGCATTACAAGTAGGTTTAGAAGTTTATATTTTGTATTACTGCTGTGCATTTTTATGTATACCTTTATGGGTGTATATATATGTCTATATATACAGTAAATACATATACTGTATATTTTTATTCTTTGGGACGATGATAAACAGCATTTCAATCTCCCTCTCTGTATCACACACAGAGGATTGACAATAAAGTTGACTTTGATACAAACGCTAACCATTTACATTCTATAAGCAGAGATGGCAAAAGTACACTCATCCTTTACTCAAGTAGAAGTACAGATACTCGTGTTTAAAAATACTCTGATGAAAGTAGAAGTACTGACTAAACTTCTTTACTCAAGTAAAAGTAAAGAGGGTTTTGAAATGTACTTCAGTAAAAAGTACCCATAACTAGCAGCTGTTTTAAAGAGTACCTGACCTCCCTTTATATTAATAGAACAATAATGTCATTGTTAGCTAATGAATGTTTCCATGCTGAACAACGGCAACATGACAACGTTTTCATTGGTCCCTCTTCTTTAGAGAAGACCAGGAAATGATGGATACACGGATCGTGTTCAAATCAATAGGCACGCAATGACTCTAAATAATAATGATCACGCCACCAAACACACATTCAAACTAAAGGAACCAGCCTGTTTGGGAAATGTAAGAAGTAGAAAGTACAGGTATTTGGGTTCAACATGTAAGAAGTAGAAAGTACAGGTATTTGTGTTCAACATGTAAGAAATAGAAAGTACAGGTATTTGTGTTAAAAATGTAAGAAGTAGAAAGTACAGGTATTTGTGTTCAAAATGTAAGAAGTAGAAAGTACAGGTATTTGGGTTCAAAATGTAAGAAGTAGAAAGTACAGGTATTTGTGTTCAAAATGTAAGAAGTCAAAGTAAAAAGTCGTCAGAAAAATAAGTAGTGGAGTAAAGTACTGATACCAGAAAAATGTACTTAAGTACAGTAACGAAGTATTTGAACTCCACTACTTCCCACCTCTGCTATAAGAAAACAACAGCAGCCAATCCTTACTGTAAATCTGTCCTTATTTTTTATGTACTAAATGTGTTCTTTTCTTTTCAGTTTCAAGAAATGAACACCTCATCTGCCAACGTCACGGTGGTTCTACAGTATCGAGATCCCATCTCTAAAGCTGTGGCCAAGAATTTGATTGTTGTGGTGATCGGGATCTCCATCAACTACATCAATGCCGGCCTCATTCACACCTTCTGCAAACACCAGGTGGAGTTTCCTTTGACATTTAGCCATTAATAATGAATTGAAAGGAAGTTATTAGCAACTCTATAGGAAGCTGTCGACTAATGCATTCATTTTAAGCACACATTGGGTTGATCAAGAGATATTTCGGTAACACTTTAGATTAAGGTACACATATTCACCATCAACTAGTTGTTCATTAACATATTAGAGTCAAACTACTAGCTTATTGGTTATGAACTAGACTTCACTTTAAAATAAGGAACATATTCTGAGTTAGAAATACCACATTTTGAGTTATTTTGACACAATTAACATTTATAGTTTCATGTCTTGTTACATAAGAATGGATCATATTTGTTAGGTGTTATTATGAGAGAATGCCTTATTACGCCCATATTGAGCATTTTAAGACCCAAACTCAAACACAACAACGTCCTTACTTACAATAAATAAGCACTAATTAGAGGGTTATTAAGGACAACAACTCTTAACTAATGACCTAGTACTTGGAGAATATGGTCATGTAGAATAAGGCATTAATACGTGTTTTATAATGACTAATAAAGAGCCAATATACTGCTAATATTCATGTGAATGAACAACTAGTTGATGGAGAATATGTGTACCTTAAAATCAAGTGTTACCGATATTTCTTACTGTGGCCATGTTTCTTTTTGTATCGTAATATTTTAGGTGACCATTGCACAATTTGTAGTTTATATGCAGCATGCAACCTGAATCAAGATAATTAATTTTAAGCACACATTGGTTTGATCAAGAGATATGTTCTTACTGTAGCTCTACTGTTTGCAGCAGCCTTATAATAACAATAAACTAGCATTCCCTTTTCCTTAATTCATTTGGCTTAACGCCACTTTTAATTAAGCAGGTTTCTTTTTGTATCGTAATATTTTAGGTTATAGATTTAGATTTTTTTTTAATTGATTTAAAAAATAGTATTATTGATTTAAAAAATAGTTTCATTGATTCAAAAAATTGTTATTACAGATTTGAAAACATCGTTGCTTGCTTTAAAAGTAGCACAATTCATTATGTCAAACCTTGGAAAGTATCTAGATATCCCTGCCCTAATGCCAAAGTAACTGGCAACTGAATATGTGTCGCCGTTTGATGTCTATATCTGGACCGTTGCGTAAAAAGGAGCGCAGCTCCGTGTTGAAGGTTTCTGCCCCGTTACTTCTCCGCTGTTTTCCTGTCCCTCTTGTCTTTTTATTTTCTTCGCTGGGGACTCATTAGCCACTAACTATTCATCCAAATGACTGTGCTCTCCAAATATATTAAAATTAATATTAAAATCCTCCATGTTGCTCTCAGACGGTAGACAACGGAAAACTAAAGACAAGCAAACAGTTTACATGCAGTTTGCTTTTCGGCCAAACTGTATAAAGTTAAATCGATCGGACTTCTTTCTGCAGATGTGAGCGTCCTTAACAACGGTCAATAAGTCCTTGACAGCGGTCTGTACTACTGGATTAACAATGTATCACGTGTTCTGAATTGACCAATCAGAATCGAGTATTCAACTAAGCCATGTAATAAGACAAGTTAATTAATTTAAGCACACATTGGTTTGATCAAGAGCTAATTTCTAACTGTAGGTCTACTATTTGCAGCAGCCTTATAATAACAATAAACTGGCATTCCCTTTTCCTTAATTCATTTGGCTTAACGTCACGTTCAATTAAGCAGCAGAATATTTTAGGTGACCATTGCACAATTTGTAGTTTACATGCAACCTGTATCAGTTACTAAGACAAGTTCATTATTATGTTTTCATGAATACAGAAGACATTTTTGAGTTTAAGAGTTCTTATATATGTGAATCCGCTAACCTGTACTGCTGCATTCATATCTGATGAAGGGTTGAAAGGATGAAGGGAGGGATGAATGGATAAAGGATATGGAGAGGCAGGGATGAAGAAATGTAGGGATGAAGAAAGGGAAAGAGGGATGACTGTAAAATGAATGTAAGGAGGAAGGGATCAAGGGATGTAGGAAGGAGAGATGAAGGGATGAATGGATAAAGGGATATAGGGAGAAAGGGATGAAAGGTTGAATGGATGAAGGGTTTAAAGGGATGTAGGTAGGGAGGGATGAATGGGTAAAATAAGGGAGGGATGAAAGTGTAAAGGGATATAGGGATAGATGAGGGTCAAAGGGATGTGCATAGGAAGGGATGAAGGAATTTAGGAAAAGAGGGATGTATCAAGGGATGTATCAAGGAATGTAGGGATGAAGGGTTGAAAGGGATGTAGATAAGGAGGGATGAACGGGTAAAAGAAGGGAGGGATGAAAGTTGAAAGGGATGTGCATAGGAAGGGATAAAGGAATTTAGGGAAAGAGGGATGAGTGTAAAAGGAATGTAGGGAGGAAGGAATCAAGGGACGTAGGAAGGAGGGAGGAAGGGATGAAAGGTCGGAGGGATGTAGGGAAAGAGGGATGAAGGGTTGAAAGGGATGTGGGTAAAGATACGGTAAGAAGGAAAAATAGATGAATGGAAGGGAAAGTCTGAATAAACAAGGCCGGATGTGTTGACTGAATATAAGACATAATGATATCAACTGTATATAAACATACAGTATAAGCTCTTGGCCATTTTATTGTCCATTTTTCCATTGATGCATCTAGGTAGCTAGCAAGTAACATCCCCAGAAAATGTTATCCTCAAAAGAGATTTTTTCGCCAACTAGCTGTCAGTGATATGCCAAATATTTCTAAACTACATACGGTGGTAGTTGCTGTATTTGATATGTGAATGCTGATAGCTTTCAAATGAAAATGACGAACTGGAAAATGCTTTGTTTATAATTGTTAAGGAATAATTCTTCTAGATATCTAACCTTTTGCTCTGTTATCTCCTTTAAGGAAAGGCCTTGGTGCCATATGTGTTGTTGTTACCAGTTTGTGACCGGTCAACTTGTCTGGCACGAATGGTACTTGTAGTGAGAACGCTGAGGCACTTCTTTATCAGTGTTTGTGGACTCTAAGATGTGAAATCTTTGAGGCCATGAGTGTCGGATGCAGGTGGCTCAGTGTTCCCAGCTGTTTAGTCTACTCCTTCAGAGATGTTGATTACTCTCTGTGAACCAGTTAAAAGGTCTAGCATAGAGAGAGGCTCTTCAGAATTGACGTGGCAACTCTACCGTGTAGTCAGAACCTCTGACTCTTTGACTTGTGATGTGAATCCTCCGGCCGATACTCTGAATAAACCCATCAGTGTTTGACATCAAAAGCTCCAACTCTCACCGTGTCTCCTTCCTGAGTCGGTGACTCCATGCATTGCTACACAGAAGTTTCCCCCACAATAATCACCCATTTCACTTTTAAGTATACTCACCTGGTTTAATTGTAAAGCTGACCCTCAGACTTCCATGTTTTTCAAACCTTGTCTTCCATTTTGCTTTTCTTCCCACCCTCCAGATCTTCTACACAAATCCTCGGTACGTCCTCTTCATTCACCTGGTGGTCAACGACATGGTCCAAGTGACTCTTTCCCTTTGCATGTTCATCATCAGCTACACTATCTACAAAATAAACGCCTCTGTCTGCTGCACCTTCATCCTGATCGCTCTCATCATGACTGAAAACACGCCTCTGAATCTGGCTTGCATGGCGATTGAATGTTACATCGCCATTTGTTTTCCTCTACGCCACGCACAGATCTGTACCATTAAGAGAACGCTGATCCTGATTGGTCTGATCTGGACGACCACCATGTTGTCTTGTCTCCCTGATCTCTTCATCACTTTGGCCACAGTGCCACTGGACTTCTTTCATTCAAAGATCTTCTGCCTCAGAAAAACTGCCTTCCCAAATCCCATCATCTTGGAGAAGAGAGATATCACATATATAGTGTTGCTTGTTACAGTTTGGACTACTGTCTTTTACGCTTACTTCCAAATTCTCTCCACTGCACAAACAGCAAGCGAAGATGCTAAAAGAGCCAAAAACACAGTCTTGCTCCATGGGTTTCAGCTGCTTCTCTGCATGTTGGCATATGTAGCCCCGCAGCTTCGAGATGTTCTGATGCAATGGTTTCCTCAGAACTCTACAGACATCCTCTTTGCTTATTATATTGTTATTCAGGTCCTGCCACGATCGATCAGTCCGATCATCTACGGTATACGAGACAAGACTTTCAGGGGGTACCTGAAAAAGCACCTGTGTTGGACGGTTAGCAATAAGTAGCCCCTTTTTAGACTTCAATTATTCACTAAAGGTCAAGTAGAAGTACTGACTAAACTTCTTTACTCAAGTAAAAGTAAAGAAGTATGGGCTTTGAAATGTACTTAAGTAAAAAGTACCCATAACTAGCAGCTGTTTTAAAGAGTACCTGACCTCCCTTTATATTAACAGAACAATAATGTCATTGTTAGCTAATGAATGTTTCCATGCTGAACAACGGCAACGTGACAACGTTTTCATTGGTCCCTCTTCTTTAGAGAAGACCAGGAAATGATGGATACACGGATCGTGTTCAAATCAATAGGCACGCAATGACTCTAAATAATAATGATCACGCCACCAAACACACATTCAAACTAAAGGAACCAGCCTGTTTGGAAAATGTAAGAAAGTACAGGTATTTGTGTTAAAAATGTAAGAAGTCAAAGTAAAAAGTCGTCAGAAAAATAAGTAGTGGATTAAAGTACTGATACCAGAAAAATGTACTTTAGTACAGTAACAAAGTATTTGTACTCCACTACTTCCCACCTGTGAATACCACATACAAATTTGGATTGTAACGTGATTGTGAAGTCCAATTTAGGCTTACATACAACACTGTAACAGGCAGTGAAATCGTAGCAGTTTGTTTAAATAAGCAGTCCCCTTTGATACACAACATGGGTCAAAAGTGACCCGAGTTAGTTTTAATTGTAAATATCTTTGCAACAAATTACTTTAACAATTCAAAATTCCAGGTATTCCTCAATGAACTTGTTTATGATCATCACAAAGTCTTACTTTCACTTTTCCTTTCTTAATCTTTGAATAAAAAACATTTTTGTATCACTACCCTTCTAAGGCACAACATGGGTCCAAAATTACCCGTATTGACCTACAATGATATTTCATGCATGGGTGAGTGTTTCTTAGCTATATTTTTGGTAATCAATTTATTTAATCATTTAATATTCCAAGTATTCATTAAATATCTTGTTTTTGATCACCACACATAATTATTTTCATTCTCCCTTTCTTAATTTAGGAACTAAAACAGTTTTTGTAGTTCTACAAGTGTGATAAAAATGAAAAGAATACATACTATAATAATAATAATTTCTTTATAAATAATAATTTTAGCAGTGATTGGACAAAACATGTATTCACTATGCAATTTGAAAGGAAGCTTTTATTTGTAAATGATTGCAGTTAGGAACATGTTTACCGTGGACAACTTTTCACATGCCAAACTTGTCACAACTCAACAGGCTGCTTTTGCACGACTGATTCATGTAAGTCTTATTTTACACTTCTTTTACTTAACCTGTTAAGCCTGAGAGACCCCGGTACCGGGGCACTGCCACAACATCTTGCAGATAAGAGTGTCTGAGGGCATGTTCATTTAATAAACTATGAATGTTTTATATCCATGTAACGGGAAGAAACTCATCTAACTGATCATTTTTATTTATTTTTCAAAAGAAAACCCACAATGCTAACACTGAGCCTCTGAATTAGCAACGAGCGAAAAATGCTAACAGATTACTGCACCAAAAATCACTCACAAAACCTTATTATTTATCTCTTCTCCACATCCATGACATCGATTCACATCGTGAGGTGACAGAGAATCGATGGGTACCCTAATTATCACTGAATTATACGAATTTGCGACGTTATAAACAAAAACAGACATCAAAACAGGTGACGCTAGGTAGCTAAAAATGCTAACATTTTTACCTTGGCTCTGTAGTCTCTCCAAAGAGGTCTTCAATGGCATTAAAACGATAAAAACGCTGCTGAAGTTAATCCATAGGTTAATCTAATGTGTCTGTGTCCCTTTGAAATGATTTCTGATAATCCATAAGCAATAAAACTGCTTTTCCGTTTCCAGATGTCAGAGCTAGAGATAGGTTCGCTCTGATGCAAAACTGCATGCGCGAAGCCCACACCTTTTCTTTTCACAATGAGTGTGTGTGGGGGAATCCCCCTTCGATTCTATTGGCTCTAACGGTCAGAAAGAGGTGTCAACCATCAAAATTAAGCAAGGGGGGCCAGAGATATGGAAAATCCACCCAAATGACCCCAGAAGTGGTTTCTTTTTGTTAAATCTCTCTAAAAAGGTCAAATGTCACTTGTTTTGCATCAATCTTGAAACAGGGTACTTATTATATGTTGTACTTTGGATTCCTAAAGCTTTTAGTCTACCTTACCATCATCCAAGGGTAGTTTTCACTATAAGTAAAAAATAATTTTTGGACGGACACTATAATTTACAGTTTTTTACTATGTAAAATCTGAATTTTCTTTAAAATAAAAAACATCTATATTGATTCTGACTTTTCTACATCCAACTCACAGGTTTATCATTACTTTGAGGAAAAAGATTATTAATTTAACCCTTTTAGAAGGGAATATATGGTAATTTGTTCTGGGAATGTCATTTTCGAGCCTGAGACCTGAAAAACAGGCTCAGGGCTTAACAGGTTAAGGAGATATTTGATATATTGTAAAAGACAACAGTACATAATATTTGAACATTACCTGACCTTGTCATCCATTACTGGTGAGGAAGAGAGTTCATGTGTATGTCAAATTAGACAGGAGGAACTGGCCAAATGCTTCTAGTGTACGATTATTATATATCGCAACATCACAATGGACCTGACCATTGTGGGGGCCGTTCGCCAGAACAAGCCGGACATACCACCTGTCATGAGGCCATCCAAATTGAGGGAGAAGCATAGCTCAGACTCTGGATTCAGTGGCAACATGACCATGGTGAGCTATGTGCCGAAAAAGGGGAAAGCTGTTGTCCTCCTGAGCACCATGCATGATGACAGAGCAGTGGATGACAACAGTGTAAACAAGGAACCAGAAGTGATCCAGTACTATAACAAAACTAATTCAGGAGTGGACACAATGGATCAGATGGTTCGCACCTACATCAGCTACATCAAGCCTTACATCACCAAGCACAATGCCAAGCGTCGGATGGAGTGGTTTAAAGCACCTCTGGACTCTGGAGCAGTGGAAACGTGTTCTGTGGAGCGACCAATCACACTTCTCTATCTGGCAGTCTGGTGGACAAGTCTGGGTTTGGCGAATGCCAGCAGAGCCTTACATGCCTGACTGCATTGTGCCGACTGTAAAGTTTGGTGGAGGAGGGATAATGCTATGGGTGGGTTTTCTGGGGTTGGCCTAGGCCCCTTAGTTCCAGTGAAAGAGATTCTTAATGCTTCATCTTAACAAGTCATTTTGGACAATTATATGCTTCGAACGTTGTGGAAACAGTCTGGGGAAGAACCTTTATGTTCCAGCATGACTGTGCCCCACAAAGCAAGGTCCATAAAGGCATGAGGCGCTTTCACACCGTAGTACTTTTCCCACAAAGGTTCATCAGAACTTAGTTCATGAGGACTCTTTAGTTCACTTGACCTCAACCCATTGAACACCTTTGGAATGAACTAGAACAGAGAGCCAGCCTCTCGTCCAACATCAGTGTCTGACTTCACAAATGCTCTTCTGGATGAATTGGCAAAAATTCCCACAGACAGTCTCCAAAATCTTGTAGAAAGCCTTCCCAGAAGAGTGGAAGCTTTTATAGCTGCAAACTTCATATTAATGCCTAAGAATTTGGAATGGGATGTCATAAAAGCTCCTGTAGGTGTAATGTGTAGGTGGCCCAATACTTGTGTCTACATAGTGTATGAAGAGGCCCATGGAGGGCACGCCCCACCTCCAAAAGCACATTACAGGGGCAATGGAAAGATGTGGGCTGAAAAGACCAAATGCACACATCACCCAGCCACATGTATTGTTTGGTTCAAATCACTCCTAAAATTATTATTTATAACATAATTATTATTATTATGTATTTTTTAATAATTTGTATCACACTTGCAGATATGGGTCATTTTTTACCCATATATGCAAACCTGATGTAGAACTACAAACACTGTTTTATTCCTAAATTAAGAAAGGTAGAATGAAAATAATTATGTTTGGTGATAAAAAACAAGATATTAAATGAATACTTGGAATATTAAATGATTAAATAAATTGATTAAAAAAGATATAGCTAAGAAACACTCAGCCATGCATGAAATAACATTGTAAGTCAATACGTGTCATTTTGTACCCATGTTGTCCGTTAGAAGGGGTTCGCATAGCTTGTGTATGGGGTTAACAAAAAATACGTCATCTCCAAAATACGCCCCAAATACAAGGCAACATATAAAGTTTGAGATTTCCAGTTGCCATATTGTTGGTGTCCAGGTCTACAAGCATCACCTCAGGTTAGTGCCAGCTGCCTTTCACTCTCTTTTCACTGCTGTATTCAGAATACAAACGTGTGGCTTCACTTAAACAAACCTGATTTTAACGTCTTTTTCACTTGTTTAGGATTGTTCATTGTGAATCTTATACAAACTGAATCATTGATGATTTGAAAGACATCATATTTCAGCTTATCCTATAAATAATAATTATAAATAATAGGTAATGCCATAGAGAGGTGACACTAAACGTTTTATGATTCAATGAAAACAAATTAATGAGACTTTTTGCGGTACATTTCATGTCGATGAGGTGACAGAATGCATGTTTTTCATGATAGAAAGAGAAAAGAAGGGGTTATGTTTATGAATCTTTCCAATTAATGCATGATTGTATGATTTTAGAGGTTTCAGCTATGGTTATTAATGTTGTATCAACTCATTCAAATTTAAATGAAGCATTTATAAGTGAAATGTAGATTTAGTTGCAGTAAATAACAGTTTTGTCCTGTCATATAGTATCAGTCTTTGTGCCAAGTTAATTGAGTTCATAAGTAAATCAATCAGATGATTGGAAAATAACTGTGCCTTTTTTTGATAATAAATGTACTGCTCCTAGCCTCTTGGATTTTATACTCATCTTTAACATAATAATTGTATATAGTTTTTAAAGTGTACAGACTGTGAACAATTCCTCATTATTATAATTTACTGTGTATACATTTCAAGGCTTGCAATTACAAGAGT